ATCAGGAGGTGTGGATGTGATGCCAAAAAGTGCCAAACATTCCTGAGGTGAAAGTAAACAGACTGCGAGAAATGTCCTCGTCTGAAGTCATACGGTTTAGTGGAAATAACACGATATGAGGAAGAGATGCTTTCACGTGCCTTATTAAGTTGTGTTTTAAGCTTCACCTAGTCTGATTGAGTTTAGTGATTCACCTGAAGTAGGGTCACATTTCAAAACCAGGTACAACTGTTCTGCAAATCAGTGATATCTACAGTTATCATATTATTCAGCTTGTCAGACTGTTTTAAACAGGCTGCTACATGCATACATGCATTTGCATACATTTTTGAGATGACATATTTGCATATTGTGCAAAAGCAGTCAAACAAGTCTGACAAGAATGAAGAGTTTGCTCACTATGAAGTGCTTTTGGTGTAACTGCAGAATGATTCATGATTAATCCCGGTGTCTGTGGATGAAGTTTCCAACATGAAAGTGACCCTGATTGCAGAGTAAGATGATCATGATATAATTGCTTTAGTGTGAATTATTTTCAAGTCAATTTTCCTGATGCTTCAACCAGTTTGTCTCTTTGCGTGTGTGGTATATACTGTGTCATTCAGACTAAACCTTTGCTGATCCCTCTGTGAATTATACAGCAAGCATCTGTCTTCACCATCTGTTCTGTGATCTCAAATGTGTAAGTGTGCAGATAAAAAGTTCATCCAACATGTCAAGTACTGCTCCAGAGGCATATTTATGAGAATATAAAACAGCAAAACGCAATAAAAGCACCTTTTAGCTGCCTAACTCTTCACTTTGTGAACTATAAATGTTAGGGCTGCAATTAAGGGTGATTTTAATGTTGCATTAACCTGCCAATTGTTTTTAAATTGATTCATTTATCATTTGACCTATAGAATGTCAGCAACCACTCAAATGTGTCTTTGGTGACCTCTTAATAATGTCTTGCTTTGTCCAAAACCAAAAGATATTCACTTTATTATTACAGGATAATAAGAAAACCAGTACAATTGAGAAGCTTTAACCAGTGATTTTTTATAATTTAACTTTAAAAGAAATCACTTTGAAATGTTTTAAAATAGCCAATTAACACCATGTTTTCTTTAAATGTGAATTATGGCTGCTGCTTAAGGCTTTCATTTGCTATGTGTCTCCCACTGAGACATTAAAAACTGAGGCATGTCAGATACATATATCATAATGAAAGGATTGGATGTATAGGAGTTACATTCATTTCCAGAAATCTGGTTTTAGAGCCAGGCTCCAGCTGTGTTGCTGCAGCAGCTCGCAGAATGATGCTGACTTTCCTTTAGAGGAACTTGCAACTTTAAGCAGACCAAGGCAACGCTGCTGAGATGCATCGGCCTAGTCTGATGCATTATTCATGCGGAGTGGTCCAAGCCTCAGCGGACCTCAACTCCCGTACCACACACCGAGACACCAAGTGCAATCACCATGCTCACACACACACATGCACAAACTCACACATATGTTCACACACACACACACACACACACACACACACACACACACACACACACACACACACACACACACACACACACACACACACATCACACACACACACACACACACACATGTTCACACACACACACACACACACACACACACACACACACACACACACACACACACACACACACACACACACACACACACACACACACACACACACACACACACACACACTCAGAGACATGCAGGATGGTTGCATGCATGTTAACGCACCACCTGACATACATACAGCACAAACAACACATGGATTACTTCCATGAAATGAGCACACAAACATCAGTTCAAACCATTACCTTCATCTCCTCAGACTTAATGATATAATTGCATAATAATATAATTCGTTTTTTGTTCCGTTGGTGTTCATAACATCTCCTTTCTTTAGCCTTTCTTTCCTCAGCAACAAGAGTTATATATTCCCTTTAGCTATGGTTATTGTTTCATTCAAATGCAGCCAGTGAGAATAATGAGGAAAAGGTGTCTTATAACGAGAAATAAATGCATACATTGTTTGTAATTAGTATGCATCAAGATGTGTCATACATTCAGGCTTTTATCGGAATTATATAGTAGTATAGTATTTGCACAAACCTTGCATGGGAAAAACTAATTTGAGGACTGTGATAGAAATCTGCCTTTAGAGAGAGCTTCATGTTTAATTTGGGATTGTGTCTTTATCTGTAATTAAAACAGAGCTGTAGATTGTGTAGAAATATTGTGTGTGCTTAAAGAAACAGACCGACAGAAGCAGTTTACTTCCTGTAAAGCAGGTTAGCTTTTCCCTTAAGGGCTAATTCAGTTTTTTTCCCCCACCTTTTTATCCATATACTTTCAGATGCATCTAGCTCACTATTAGAAATAAGACCATTTCAGTGTACACACATGGTCAGAGAAACAGGAAGTTATGTTCCGTGTAAATCTGTATTCCATTAGAAGAAAAAGGCTGAATTGTCCCGGATAGTTTCTTAAATATTTCATCAAGGTTTAGCGACTAGCAGCTTTTGAAGATATATATCCTTCTGTGTCAGATATAACACGCTGGCAGTGAATGCTGGTTTTATGGAAACATCAGTTTGATTATCTCAGTCTTAAAAGATATATGACCATCTTAATCCTTCTGTTTTGTTGACGTTGGCTTTACTCCCTCATTTGTCACTAATGTATACGAAAAGAATAACAACAACATTTGCAAAATCTTCTTTCCTATCAAAAAATGCAGACCCATTATCTAGAACAGATATGATAGATGTACAGAAATAACCATAAAGTATCTCTATTACAACAAATAAGGACATTTATGATGTTTAAATCTTACACAAAATATGCACATTTATTATAGTTTGTTTGCCATAAAAGAAAAATGTACAGTATGTAATTCTGCAAAGGTTGTTAGACTCCCTGTTAGACCGCTGATGGAGAAAGTGGAATAAAACTCCTGTGAGTAAAGTAAACATATTAAATGAGGATAGTGCTGTTGTAAAGGGCTGCAGCACCAACACTGAAATAATTATGTTTTAAGGACCAAAGCATCCATTTTGGCATCTTTTTAAACATGTCAACTTTTCAAAAATCATGGTCATAGGCAATGGTCGTAAAAAAAATTGGGTATGAAGATGAGAAAACAACATTACCTTTTGTTTCAATATGGCAACAATATATACGGTTGACCATGGTGCTTTCACAAAATAGTTTCAAAGTGACATTATAAATAAATAATCCTCAATAATGTAGATGTAATGACTAAGTTGGTAAAGGCAAATGGTTAAACATGTAGCTATAATAGTCCAAATGACTGTCATGCAGCCTTTAAAATACAGAAAATATTGAAAATTACGATATTCAAAATATTGATGATATCTCATGTCATGATATAGATATAATATTTATGCATTGCCCTTACAGAAATACTTGTAATAAGCAAGGGCTTTAATTGTTGTGCTTTAAGCACAGCAGAAATCAGAAAGTGTATAAAACAGATCAAAAGAACATATCATTGTGAATTCATTTGTTGGATTTCAATTTAAAGAGACACATGAAAGCCTTTCGTTGAGTGGGTTGTATTTTGTTGATCCAGTCAAAATGATTTCAAGCTTCGCGTATAGCAGAATTATCAGCCGAGAAAAGATGCTTGACATTGTGAAAGCTCTTCCATTGTTAAGGATGGAAATGCCTCGGAGCGTACTTAACACGGTGCCGATGAAAATGACTCACTGTAGTTTGAACAGGGGAAACGGACTGAGCCTCAGTAAGAGAGCACCTTTCTGAAAAAGTGCTGAAGGAGTCGACACTTCTGGTAGAAATTCTCCCATGTGTCTTATTCATGAGTTTGCTTTTGGAATTTGCTTGGCTGGTGGTGCAACTGCTGCTCGCACTGGCAGGCGCAGGACTCAAGGACCTGACACTCGGAGACTTTCTTACCCCCGAGAGGAAACTACAGTCTATACGAGTTTAAGTGACATCTGTAGCAGAGGCTTTATGCAGTGAGTCCTCCGGGAGTGGGGAAAAAAGTTGTTAGAATTAGACAGAGGCATGTTATTCTTTGGGTTTAACATCTTGTATTCTGTATTGTTGCATGGACTAGAACTTCTAGTGGATGCTGTTGCTATACTGAGATCACACAAAGGACGTTGTTACTTCTTCAAATGTAAGATGATTGATGTCTCTTTAAGGTTTGTTTTAAAGAGATATTTAGTCTTGTTTGCTTTCATTATAGCCAAGTTAGTTAAAGGTCCCATGTCATGCTTTTCCGGTTATTACCCGTCCCCTTGTGTGTTATGAAGGTGCTAGTGGAGCCTCGCAACGTCCCGCCAACAGGGCACCCAGACCCCACGCCAGCATTCTCATCTGTTTGTCCTTACTGGTGTAATGTTCTGGTTGCTAACGCCATTGTAACACATAATCACTGATGTTCCGCTGTACGGTGGTGGACTCATCAGAACAGAGTGGGCGAGCTGACNCTAGTGGTGCTAGTAACGGTGGTCCAATGATAGCAACTCTAAAACATGTCCACAAGATCAATGACCGTTTTGTCTCTGTTTCCGCTTCAGAGTTGAGAGAGACATGTTTTAGAGTTGCTATCATTGGACCACCGTTACTAGCACCACTAGATGCACTTTCAAAAAACGTGCTGCGTTGTGGTTTGGTGGTTTCTATGCAACGCGGAGTGTTGCGTTCATGGTCTGTACTAGTGTAGGAATTTGGCTACGGGAGGCTGGGTTACTCGGGAGTTGGTTCTGGGCCGCATCCGGCCCGCGGGCCGCCAGTATGTAGGCTACAACTCGCACATAATACGTACACAGCATTACACTTATGTTAACAATTGGAGTAAATACAAGGAGATAACATTAATTGTTATTATATAAAACAACACAGTTACTTTTTTCCAAACAATCCTAAAAAATATTTCTTATTACACCGAGAGCTATTTAGATGAACCCAGAAGTCTGAGCTTTTGGTTGAGTCCTTGAACGCAGCATTTATTCCAGTGGGACGGGCTTCCGGAAGAAGGTCATCACAAACATGGCGTGGAGAGGATGTGTATTAAAATGGGTAAAAACAGAGTTAATCAGATCCACCAACACAACTTTACGAAGCTCCAGGTGAGCAGTGCTATAACTCTACAGGGGCAGGGTTTGTAAAGAATAAAAATGGCGGGACTATTATGTGTGTTTGTGTCTCGAGCAGCTGATTACTTAACTGTCATTGTAAAGAGACCGAGGTGCAGAGAGCCGTGTGTTTCATTTGTTTACAGAGAAAGACCGACCGTCTGTGTCATTTGTTGCTGTCTGTCATATTCGGGGCTGATCAAGCAGCAAAATGCATACAACGCTTTTTCTACTAACTTATTGTTACCATTACATATATAAAGCCTACTAAAGAAAGATCTATGGTTTTGACCAATAGGCATAGTCCATGGTAAGTCAGGTCATTAGGGCTATTTTCTAAGCCTGAGTGCTCAGTTATAATAGCTACAATTATAATTTTACAGGGCTATTGCTTTATTTAAATTATTAGAAGACATAACATTTTGTACAATTTACTAATATACTTTACCAATTGTTTTGCTAACCCTTCCTTCCTCACAAAAAGTCAAATATGCATTAATTACAGCTTCTCTGTTGCAGGGTTTGATTCTTTTTTGTCTTATTGATTGTTAAGGAAATACATTCATACATACATTCATTTATTAATTTCAGGGCTGTCAAATAATGTCCCCTAACGCAATAAGGTTTTTTTGTCTTTCAATGTATGTATTTAAGCTATCTGTAAATACATTTTTAAAACTGTGTCAACACTTTCTTTGCAGAGAGATCCCACACTACCAACAGAGGTACGGTTTCCGTCAGGAAGCCAAACGGCCGGATACAAAGAAAGGAAATGTTGTCCAAAAAACTAAAGTTTCTCCCTCGGAGGCTGGCACTCAATCTCTCCCACCTCCTCCCAAAGTCCCCCGGCCGTCACTCTTTAAACCGCTGATGTTCACAGTAGGGGTAGGTCCTCCAAATATACTAGAATTAGAAAGGATCAGACAGTACTGGGGTTAGGGACTGTTTGAATGTGTTGGATGTTGTCTGACTCCGTGTCAGTTTACAGGCTGCTCATTTGGTGCTGCGGCTATCCTGCAATACGAGACCCTGAAGTCACGAGTCAGGACTGCAAAAGATGAAGAAAAGTCTGAAAAATTCTCACAGGTGAGGTTTTAATGATGCACACTGCTGGTATGTATATTACTTCCTAATAGGCTGCTCACAGCTACTGAGTTAACCTTTCTTATCTCATGAGGGGTCTCAGGATATGACGTACTGGCATGACTGGTGGAACAAGCTGTCAGGCTTCCAGCGGCAGCTCATCCTCCTCGTGTCCACGGTGGATGACTTCTGGAGCAGTCTCTCAGAGGGACAGAAGACTGTAACAGGTAACTCATGTTGCAGAGACAGATTCATTTAGACCCTGCGTTTATTCAGATGAAATGGCTAGCATCACCATCTTTACACGTGTTTCATAATCTTATATTTGAATAGTCAGGAGCTTTCCTTATTTATTTATTTTCTAGGCATCATTGCACTGAATGCTGTAGTCCTGTGTTGCTGGCGGATCCCTGTGATGCAAAGAAGTATGGTTAAGTACTTCACGTCCACTCCAGCCGCCAGTGAGTATGCATGTTATACCCGTACTGGTAGAATGTAGAATTGACTTGCGATATGACAGTAAAGGCAATGCTTTTCTTGCATGTGGAAGATGTGCAGCTTTGTTCGCTGGCCATGACTAGGTTCTCTGTTTTTGTCTATTTTCTTTTTCCCACCAGAAACACGGTGCCTGCCTATGGTCCTGTCCACCTTCAGCCACTACTCCATTTTCCATATGGCGGCCAACATGTATGTCCTGTGGACATTCTCATCAGAAATCGTCTCCATCTTAGGAAGAGAGCAGTTTCTCGCATTCTATTTATCGGCTGGTGAGTCAAATAAAGATGGGATAAAACGGCATCGAATCTATCAAACCCAAATCCATTTTCATCCCTAGCCTAATCTAGTTAGGTTGACTTTCAATGTTTTTGTTCCTATATAACATCATAACACCATACTGTATCAGGGTGTCCGCGGGGTCTTAAAAAGTATTACAAGTTAGCGAAAATTAAGGCTATTAAAAAGTATTAAAAAGTATTAAACGGCATTTTCCAAGGTATTACATGTTGTAGCTTGTTTTCAATAAGTATATCAATTGTCCAAAGAGGTTGTATTCTAAAGTCTGCCTGAATGTAATCATTGCGTAGGTGTGTAGTGTGATTCTGTGTACTTTATTTATGGCATCCCGTTGGATTTGACCTCATCTGAACAGGACATCGTACGCTCACTGCTTGATAGCGCGCGAAGGTCCGTTTACGCCGGTTGTTAAACATCGTTATGGGGAAATGCAAGTTTGCGTCCAAATGGTTGGAAGATAAGGAGGAAGGACAATCAATACTGAATATAGTCAATGTGAGGTAAAGTGTGTCGCCAATGTAACCGAAGTGGCGATGAGGTCTTAAAATGTATGGAAAGGGTCTTAAAAAAGGTCTTAAAAGGTATTACATTTGACTTCAGGATTCCTGCATATACCCTATGTATAGATATCACATTTACTTTTTAGCTAAATTACTAAATATTATTAAGACTAGGTATTATCAGGTTTTTGTATTGGAACCAGTTGGTATACGTTCAGTTCGGGGAAAAAAAGGGAAATTAAAGTTGTAACGTTTTTTGGGGAAAAGTGACATCTCAAGTTGAATGTGTATTTTCAGGTGTGATTTCCAATATGGTCAGCTACACATGTAAAACTGCAACTAGAAGTCTGCATCCATCATTAGGAGCGGTAAGATATCTGTTAAAATCATCATACACCTCAACAAAAAAAGATGAACAATAAGCCTTATCTTATTTCTGTATGTTGTTGTCTCCATAGTCAGGTGCTGTGATGGCAGTACTGGCTGCAGTCTGCGCAAATGTGCCAGAGGCCAAACTAGGAATAGTCCTCCTCCCCATGTTGACTTTCACTGCAGGAAACGTAAGTCAAACATGTTCGTATGCACTGCATCGCGTGCTGTCTTATGTAGATACACACCTCTAAAGCTTAATCTGAATAAAAATAGTTTGGTAATTCATGCATTTAATAGTGTGTTTGTCTTTCTGCTGTAGGAAAGAGAGTTAATCTGTGCATGACACACAAAAAAAACAGACAAAGTGCAGTGTGTGAGTTATCATGTCTGAATACATGGTTTACAGACAGTTGTTGTTGAGTTTAGTCAGTCCCCGTGTGTAACTTTGGGTTCCTGTCATTGGTCTGCCTTTAGGCTCTGAAAGCGCTGATCGCCATGGATACAGCAGGGCTCGTCCTGGGATGGCGGATGTTTGACCACGCAGCTCACCTTGGTGGAGCCCTCTTTGGAGTGTGAGTGGAATCAGATTGAAAACTCCATAGATTATGTATGAATAATGTTTGGTAGTATCCTGTCCTGCAGTGAGTACATTTTAACTGTACCCCTATATCTTCTCCTGCAGATGGTATGTGGCATACGGTCACAAACTGATCTGGAGGAAGCGAGAGCCTCTGGTGAAGCTGTGGCATGAAGCACGTTCTCCAGGTGCCGGTGGATCCAGGTCAGGAGGAGGGCCTGGGGTCAGTGGTGGACCTGGACCAAAATGAGACTCTGCAAGATCTCTGTTCCTTTTTTTTTTTTAAACTGGAGTCCACAGTTACCCAAGGATATGCAAAGACACTTTTATCAACAAGTGAGTCGGATGTTATTGTGTGTTATTGCACATAGATTTTATTCAAGGTTAGGAATGAGCATAAGGTTATTTAATGGTATTCAGAGATCTGGAATTTGAACAGGTGACATTCCAGATGTTTACTGTGTGGACTGATAACATCTGCTGCCCTTCAAGTAACTCCTTGGAGCTACAAATGGAAAATATCATCCCTCTACCTCTTAATCTTCAGCCTTCAAGTCAGTTTTTTTTTTTTTTTTACTGTCCCTATTATTAAAAGCAATTGTATAAAACCGGACAGAAACTGTGTGCGTGCGGTAGTCAGTGAATGAATCAATTGCTGAAATTATTGTAATATATGTAGAGTCCTGTGGGCTGGTCTTATGTCGCTATTAAAACAGGATGACAATCAAAGTTGAGAATGGATTTTTTTTAATTAGAGAAGATTAGTCTGCATTGATAATTCCTGACAAGGGAACTCTTTCTACACTTTGGTGAAAAAGCCACAAAGTAGCGATTTATGTTTATTTCAGAAATGAGATGCTACTGTTCAGCCCGTTTCCAGAAAAGCTCTTTTCCTAAGAACTCTAAGTATCTCCTATTAACTTATTCATCTACAACTTCTGTTTAGAGAAAAACAATTGGATTTATTTAACAGAGTCACATGATATGTGCACACATTGCTTTTTCAAAATTCATTGTCAATGCATGCTGTACATAAAGATTAAGTTAGGATATACGAAATACCTGCAGTTATTCTAGTTCATTCACAAATGCAAGCTATGGCTGGGACTATTTTTGCCAGGAAATTACAAAATAACGACATCTTCTTTAAATGGGAAGGGTGTGTACATACATAAGGTTTATACATTAAATAAACAACTATAAATGCAGTAAAACCAAAACATTGTAACTAGACGTCCTCAGAGCTGTAAATCATGGTTACAAACAAAGACATTTGTCTGCAGACGTAAGACTGACACCTGCTGGCTGTAAAAGAACTGCACTACAATCCACTGAGAGAGGTGTTCATACTGAAGGAAAGGCAGCTTTGGTAACATTATATAGATTACCCTATCACAGAAGGACGTTTCATAAGACTGGGCCATGAGTAGAACATTCAGATTGTCCGAAATCCATGATTGTCCTGCAGATGCAAGGGAGAGACTAATCAGAAATGCAAACAAGCACAAATATTCTCGAGGACTATTTTTTTGCTGTATTTGAGCCTCTTCTGAATCACTACTGTTTATCCCACGATGTATTCAAATCAAAAATATTTTGTCACTTAAACTTGAATTAGAGCTTTCTAGATGTGCAGGGATCAGAAGAGTCAAACTTACCACTATTACTTGAGCTTATCTTCTTTCAATCCGAAACAATCAGCAGTGACGCGGCTCCTCAACCTCTACTCTTGTGATTGGCATAGCTGGGAAATCCAAACTGGGAGACCATCAGGTTGGAGAAGCAGAGGGGCATGAAGCCATAGATCTGCGTCAGCCTGTTGAGACAGAAGGATCTCTGCAGAAGGTGTTCGGGGCGATGCCACATGCCCTGGTACCCGCTGTGGGCGTCCTTTTCCAGGTTCCGTAGGTCCACAGGTTTGACAAAGACCCCAGAGGGTTTGTTAACGCTGCCTGTGGAGTGTTTCCTCAAATACAGCGCTACAGCAAAGTTCATGGCGATGTCGTCACAGTTCTGTGTTTCATCTACCAGCGCATGCACTGCTGGAGGCTGGTCCTGGAAGAGCTGCAGGTAGCGACGGTGGAAGAAGGCAGCACCAACTAAAACCATGGAGTATCTGCAGTGAGGGGATCAAGATAACCATATTAAAAAAGGGCCTTCCACATCATAGTAAGATTAACCAAACCAGCAGCTAATATTATGCATTTTGGGAAGCTTGAAAAACTATGATAAGTAGGAAAAAGCACAACTTACTTGTCACCTCCACCTGTTTCTGGGTCCTGCAGTTCAAAGCTGCCGTAGCTGTACACTCCTCCTGGTGTGGAGACATGTTTCCGTGGGACAAACCCAACAATCTGGTCTGGAAATTGCTGCAGATTAGAACCAAAGACAAAACCGTTAATGCTGTACCTGCTAATGCCACAACCATTGTGTAAGATGCAGTACCAGATAATGCCGATGCATTTTAATGTACATAATCAATTATCAAATGAACCCAAAAGTAGAATTGATTACCTTCCAGACAGAGAAAGCAAAACTGATGTCAGGAACGCTGACCAGGGTGTCGTCATCCAGCATCAGAACAGCTAGGGATAACAGAAAAAAATCAATCAAACAACTCTGATTTTTTTTTTTTTAAAAGGTACATAATTATAGTACAACTACCACTTAACATAAACAATATGCAAGCTAGTAAATATACTCACCATCAGTTTCAATCTCAGGGAATGGTTGTAGTCTGTTGCGCATTTGATTGATGGTCTGCTCCTTGAAGAGCACAGGGACCGGATGGGGCCCCAAAGAGTTCCATAGCTTTAGGGGTGTCTGCACCCCAATGTTGTTCCAGACTATAATAATCTTCTGAAGATGAGGCACTGCCTGGTAATGGTTGAGGAGTTTGAGCAAAATGTCTGTGCGGTTGTAAGTTTGGATGATGATGGTGAACCTCTGCTCGTCCTCTGTGCTGTCGCCATGGCGGCCCTGTGCAGGATCCTCCTTTTGTGATGTTGCTCTGCGTAGCACTCCCAGGACGCCAACGCCTCTTTGGTCCTCCGCTGGCGGCAGCAGAGTGGTCAGGGAGGCACCAACCAGGAGAACCAGCAGGATGGGACAAACCAAGTAGGCTCGACGTAGCCCCATGCAGCATCTGAGGACCCTGCATCAGAAAGGAAGGGCATCCCATTACAGTTATATCCAGGTTTTGTTCACACTGAGACAATGGGATCGGGCATTCATTTTTATACATGCATCACAATAAAAGGCAACAACAGAGAAAAGCAATGCCACATTTTGCATGCTCTATTACAAATTTAAATATTACAAGTCTCAAATATTAACACAACATTGAAAAAGGCTGGTCTCTGAATAAATAAATAAACCGTTCAATCTAATGAGTAGACAGATATTGTAAGTTTCTACTAAATGATACTAAAAATGCTGCTTCTGTTTAGGATGTCCAAGAACACTAACATTTCAAATAGACTATGAGTAACACACGAGACAGGGATGCTTGTATTTATCTCTAATGCAACTGCAACTTATTTTTGTGGAATCACTTTTTCACTGGGTTTATCAAATGGTCTTCATGAGGCGTTCAGAAAACACTGGAACTTTCAGAAGTAACTAAATGTCCATAGCCTGGTAAACATTGTCGTCAGTAAAGTGAAAACGGTAGTAAGTGGGTTTATTTTCTTTTAGTGAGTCCCAGAATAGTTTGTCAAGAGCGCTCAAGAACCGCTGCACATAGGGAATTTGTTCTGTTAGCAAGATTGAAATGATTGTTTACCAAACAATGTATTGCTGCATGATGAAACCAGTTTCATGTTTCACATACGCCAGTATTATTTCTATGAGTTTAGTTTTCCGTACTACCACATGGAAAAGCTATTAAATGGCATCATAGATAGTAAAAGTAATGTCATATGTATTCCCATAACTCAAACTCACCTCATTTTGTTGGCAAAACCCAGAGCGTTCGCTTTACATGGTCGCCATGTTGACTGACTCTGACCAAACAGCCTGAAAGAAGAGAGCTGTGTCATTAGCGCTACGGAGCGTGTGTGGGTATCACAGCTTTAAGGAAATGAACCGCTGTATTGTTAGAAACAATCGCCAACTTACTGAGCCCTTTAATTCAGTATTTTTGTGTAGACTCCATACGTTAATGACATGTTCATGAGTTTTCATTCACGTGGGCATATTTAGTATTTATTTTTAACTGACGCCATCTTTGTTCTGCTAAATCAAGGCATTACCCATAGGCGTGAATGTAATGTCATTGGATTTCCCGTTGGAGGAACATCTCCCCAGCTAGAGATACTATCGCCATTGGTTTGAAATGTGTACTCTGATTTGGAAAGAACCGAAAACACTTTCGGTAAAACTTCACAAAACCAGAAACTTGCAAATTCCTACAGCTTCCAACAAAGACTGTTTTAAATATATGATAATAAGGCTTAGTATCGTATGTGTTACGTTGATGGTACGTTTGTAACGGGTTGGTTTAAATGGATATACAGATTTTACCAGTGGAGCAAAGAACAACACTTCTTCTGTTATTCAGGTTGCTCAACACTGCACAGAGGAACATGACTCTTGCAGCACACCTGAGGTTTCCTAAAGTCCCACTTTCCAACGGTCTGCAGATTCCAATACTTGGACTGGGTAAGTTGGACTTTAGTTAAGACTGACCTGTCCCATTACTCTAATGCAAATACAAAACACTACAATACATGCTTTTATACTGCTAACCTTTTTTGCTTTATTATTATTATTATTATTATTATTAATGTGCCATTCTGGGGACTAACTAATGTTAAAAAAATGACAACCATTCCAACACACAGAGCAACTTTTGTCTTTATATGCTAGAAACGATACAAATTCTTTATTTATTTATTTTCTAAACAAATACATATTTAGTATACCTGCAATTACAATGTTCTGAATAAAGAGTTATTGTTCATATAGTGCTTTGGCAATACTGTTTCTGGTTATACTCAGCCCTCCCAGCAAAGACAACAATTAAATGTTTTTAAAAAATCTATTTAAAACATTCAATTGAACTGAGCTGAAATGTTTTGGGGTATAGCTGCCTATATTTGGTCTTTTTTCTATGTTTTCACCAGGCACATCACATGATGGCGGTTTCTCTCATGATGCCATTGTGTATGCACTCACTGAGTGTGGCGTGCGCCATATTGATACAGCAAAACGCTACAGCTGCGAGGAGAAACTGGGTAAGGCTATCATAGAAAGTGGAATACCACGAAGTGATCTGTGGGTCACCAATAAACTGTGGCCAGGGGACTACGGATACAAAGCTGCAAAGAAGGCCTGCCTTGACTCCTGCTCGCAGATGCGGTTGCATTATTTCGGTATGTTTGTGATTGATTAAGAGATTTTAATCAGAAAATAAAGTTTTCTATGTTATCATTGCAATACCACCCATGTTCTTGTATTAACCTGTTATGGGAGATTTACTTTTTCAAAGAATAATTGTTATTCTAGAGCCAAGAATTCAATAATTGTGAATTCTTTGCTCCATATTTTCATGGCATTTTTCATTCAACAACGTATGCAATCTGTTTTCTCTCTTCTCTAATGACCTGCCCCCTTTTTCAGATCTGTACCTGATGCACTGGCCAGAGTCATTGCAGTCATGTAATTGCTCAAATAGGGAGATGAGAGCTGAGACTTGGAGAGCTCTGGAGGAACTTTATAAAGAAGGTACAGAGCATGGAAGATCATGTCTGAAAAAGTATAATAATGAGTGACTTCAGCAAGCAGGATTGTTGTGAAGTATCCCTGTGTGTCACTATAGGGGTTTGCCGTGCTATTGGAGTGAGCAACTTTCAAGTCCACCACCTGGAAGAATTAAAGGAAGACTGTAGTGTTGTGCCACATGTTAACCAGGTAGATTTTTTTTCTCCTGGAAAAACCTAAATAAGATTATGGTAAAAAGCCCATGGAGGCCTTCAGCCTCTTTCCCACATCAATAACTTTCAAATATTCATGTAAAGACGGTTTTAAATACATGTGTTTACCAACAGTGAAAGTGATGTAGTTTCAAACGTAAACTTGCTTATGATTTATCCTTAAAATGGTATGACCCAACAGGTGGAGTATCATCCTTTCCAGCAGTCCAATCAGCTGATGGGTTACTGTCGTCGGGAGGGAATTGTGTTTGAAGGCTACTCTCCTTTGGCTAAGGGACAAGTCCTCAGAAACCCAACTGTTCTCCAAATAGCAGAAAAATATGGACTCACCCCCGCTCAGATCTGCATCCGCTGGAGTATTCAGGTTGTCATGATGTTTAGATATCGCCTGCCCGGAGTTAAACTGGCCTAACACCTATGTCTCTAATTGTTTTGTCTCCTTCATCTTTAGAATGGAGTTGTTACAATACCCAAATCCACCAAAAAGAAGAGAATTCGAGAAAACTGTCAAGTGAGTTGACAATGCTTTACAGAATTGTTTGCTTTATAGTAGAACTTAAGATAATAAAGAAAACGTAAGAATTTAACAAAGGTTAAGGACGATTAATTATATTTTGATGGACCAATCAAGCAGCCACAAACACATTTAAGAAAATTGCAAAAGTTTAACACACAAAATAAAGAAAAAAGTATGTGTTAGTAGTATTGTACTTTGTGCTGCTTTTTACAAAATATCCTCCGATGTCCAGATAACTAAAATATGCATCTGAAAAACTGCCATAACATGATATATTAACAAACATTTAAATCTACTATTCAACTTCAGGCCTGAGCATAACGATCAAATATGTATTCTGTTTCAGAATTGTACCCACTCCATGATTTTCTCTTGGAAAATGACGTGACATTAGAGAACATTAGTTAGAGTTGGTACTGCCCCACTGCCTGCTCTCCTGAGCAGCAGATGATCCTAATAAATGTCAATAGGTTGATAAAACTATTATCGTGAAATGTACTGAGTTACCGATTGTTGGTCTCTCTCAGGAGAGCAGGCAGTGGGGCAGTCCCAACTCTAACTAATGTTCACTAATTCCTGTTACCTCTTTCTCTTCTCGTCCTCTCCTCGCTCACACTCAGGTGTTCGGGTTCCAGCTGGAGGAGTCAGACATGGCTGCTTTGGGAAGCCTGCATGATGGAAGACATGTGACGTGGGATTCAACACACGTAGAGTAACAAATGTTAGAACATTTAAAAAGAAAAGTGAGTTTGTATTTTTTGCTGAAAGAAGGGAGTTCTTCTCCTGTGGCATACTAGCTTTGTAATTGTAACATATTGAATGGGATATGTGTACAATTAACTAATATCTCTGGGATAACATATTGGCATATACTAATATTGTGAAGCTTTGTACATTCGTCATTTGCATATTTTACCATTTCTTAAAATGGCAAACTCTTCGACTTTTACTTCATATTTTTATTGTATTTTCTCTTATCTAAATGTATTCCTTGTCCATTTTAAGTATTTTTTTCTGCCGTTCTAGTTAGATTTCTTGATATTTGCAATCCTTGCTTTATTTTTATTTGACTGTTTTACACCCATTCACCTAAGCAAATTTATTGTATTTAAACAACTTAAAAAAAACGAATTGACAATAATATAGATTGAGTCCAAAAAAATCAAGAGTATAAAAGTAGTCCTTACTTTTCTAGACTTTCAGTAATTTTTCAGACCACACTCAACTAATGGCTAGCAGTTTGTAAAAAGAAAACACAAATGTCAACATGATTGTAACATTCTGTTTATGCTTTTATGTTGTAAAAGATTGGAAATATTTGAAGACAGTAGTTTATGCAATAAAAATCAAATAACACCAAACCCAGGCAGTGTAAAGGAACAGCGTTTTTATTTAAGCTGCAAAACTAAAACATTTATTCTGTTGTCATGTAAGTTTAACGTTTATTTTGTAGAAAAAAATGAATTCTTAGAAAAAAGAATAGGGGCAAAAGTCTAAATTCTATTATTTTGCAATACTCTTATATTTTTTCCATACTCATCCAGACCTAGAAATGACAAAATAAAACCCACATTTTCATATTTTTCCATCAGTTTCACACTGCATAGAAACTGACAGCTGGAGTTGCTCTTTGTTAAAAGCAAAAATAAAAACAATGACAAAAACATTCAGAGTTAGCAATATCATTTAATCTTTCCCCTCAGCTTAGAATCACTGTTGTACATAAGTTACACTTTGTTTTCTCAATTTCACAGGTTCATTTTTTCTCTCTTCAAACTTCCAGTTTGACCTCCCTCTCGTATCAAACGAAAAAAAAAGCAGATTGTATTATACAAAAATGCAAACCAATTTTCACACAGTGAATTCTCTTACAAAGTCATAAAATGGCGTAATAATGGCTACATCCACATTGGAGGAAGATAATTCTAGACATTCCTTAATGGAGTATAATATACATATAAAAACTTCTTTTTTCTTGCTGAAATCAAACCTGTACCTTAATTTAAGAGATATTTTACAAGGGAGTAATCATATAAAATAGCCATTTGCGAATTTCCCCAGAAAGTTAGGGAATAAAATGTGAGCCTCGAACAGCAGTAACAGAGTTCAGTGGTCAGGGTGGGAGTGGAGGGGTTAATTGGTTGTGTAAATGAGGGGTCGAGGCAGCAGTTCCACTCAGAAACAAAAACACACAGGAGACTGAAATGAACATCTTTGCTATTTTCTCTATAGTAAACCACCCCATGCGTCTTTGTATGGCAGTTCTGATAAGCTAAAGGCGTTTTAGGCTCATTCAGACTGCAGGGACAATCAGATAGAATCAGCATTGTGATCTTTTTGGTTGACTTGCACTCAGAGAAAGTGAGAAATGTCATTAAATGAACACCATGTGTTGCCAATTCATGGCATTTTAACAGCACAATGAAGCTGGTGGGCCAATATATTGTAAATACTTGTCAAATAAGAACACTATTGTGTGAATGTCACTCTTAGCTGTTGACTACACATCAGGTCGATGATGCATCAAAGACTGTAAGACTTGCAGGTCAGTAAATTCACTCAACTATTGCAGAAACAAAAAAACAAGAGAAAGAGAAAAGAACTACAAACCGAGCTAGGTCAACAACATTTCCTTAAAAAATAATAAAAAACACTTTCTTCAAATCTTACGATTTGCATTATTTGCATGTTGCTGTTTTACAAGACATTTTCAGGAGGGAGGGAGGGGGGGGGGGTCTAATAGAGTCCCTCTGTACGACTCTAAATCATGCCAATTTATTGTTAATCAGTATTTTTGCGATGACCTCTTGCTCCTAAAGCAGCTAAAGAGCATAGCAAGAGGATTTAAGGCCAACCTGTCATCAGGGATTCCTGAATATCCTCTTGGGGGCAGGGGTGGGAATAAAACCCCAACACTTTGCTAATACCTCAAAACTATCACCCAGTACAGCACACTTTGAGGGGAGAAAAAACTTAAGGGTACATTTTCTACAAGTCATTCTAGCACACACAAAACGTCTCATTTTCCAAAGTTACAGAATGTTGTCTTCTTCGGAAGCATAGTCTATAAAGAACATCTTTGTTTGAACACAAAAGATTAAGTGAACACACATCAATGCGCACAGAAGTCCTTCGTCTGGGAAAGGATAAAGTCTGTGTTGGCAACCAGTGGACAGAAAACAAATCAAACAACAAAAATAAACAACAACATTTTGCTGATTCTAAGTAGAGATCATTTAATATAAATGCTGAGCGAGTAAAATAAGAGGTGGCACATTAATAGTGCTTTAGTATATTAATGTATGTATACATACTCATATGTATAAGTGAGCTGTGTACCTAAACAATAAATGTAGCAAGGAGCAGCCAGAGGCTTGAAGTGTGGTAGGAAATTAAAAAAAGAAAAACCCAAACATCCATTATCGTGGCGCTGACAAATTGGAAGAGATGCCCATCAAACAGTTCAGATGAGACACAAAAAATGTGTCTTTATTATTTTGACTCATCAGTTGTCAGGGGATTTGTCTAACCGTTGGTTACTTTGTACCCCTCGTCTGACCGAGACGAAGGCCCAACGTTAAACTTAAATGACTTAACCCAGAGCGTCTCCTCTATCCTTCAACCGTTCAAAGACAAGGACTCACTCGCTCTCAGCAGAGCTGTAAAACTGTAGCCAACCATGCTAATTGTTTACAAAAGGCAAAGAGCTCAATGTGGAGCATCAGCAGTAAACAGTTTACATGATGGAGGAAGAGCTAGAATCGTGGTAATGGTGGTGATGTTGACATTAAGTGGAAAGAGGACAATGTGGATTGACTCTTGTAATACTCAGCAATAAAGGTGCTGGATTTATACTCAACGGGTTATAAATTAACATATTAAATCGACCAACTGCTAAATATTTGGAAATCTATCTTTGAAAGTTGGTTTTGTTTACCCCTTAGTAACCAACAGTCATATTCTCAGCTGTTTACATGATTTGAAATGTACTGTTTGGCTCATAATGATACAGTTACAGGGTGCAAACCATAAAATCTGGGTTTCTACAACTTCATGACGACACGCGTTCAGCTAAGCTCTAAAAAGCCTTCACTAGGTAAGCCACACCCCAAATCGTAACAACGTAAAGCATGAAAAAAGAAAACAACATTTAACAAAAAACACAAGGGAAGGCAACTTCATAGAAGTTAGGAGAACAAATGACAAGATAATCCCAATGGGGAGGCCTTTTGTGTGGCCAGACAAGAAGCTCTGAGGAGGGAAGTCCTTATTTAGCCTGCGTTATAAAAGACCAACATTCACCTGATGCCTGAGGAAGACAGATGTACTCTCTCTCTCAGCCTGATCATGTGCATTCACCCAAAAAAAACTACATTTTTGAGCATGCTGTGAAAAATCTCACGGCATAAATCAGCTGGGAGCTCAGGCATTGCAACCGAACCACATCAGGTCACACCACGACCAAGAGAAGCACATAATAGATTCCCTTATAGAAAACATGTGGAAAGCTCATTATCAAAAAGACTTGCTGCAATCCTTAAAACAGAATGCTTCAATTAAATATATTATATACTGCTCTCAAGTATGAAACAGACATGTGTTCATAAAATGCACTAATAAAATCATACTTCTTGTGGCAGGTGAGGGCGTGCATGTGAAGGTAGCTCCTGTCACACCTTGCTGAATACTGGTGGAACGTTATACTGTGTTTTCCTCCTCAGACCATCTACATCTGGACAACCACTTTTTTCTTTTTACGATTATGGGGTTGAGTACCAAGTGACACACTTCTGCCGTTTCCTACAATACCTTCATATATCGTCAGATTACAGAGAAGTTTCTCAGAGTGCTTGGTAATCTGCTCCTTGTTATCCAACCCTTCGTCTACATGTAAGCTAAACCAAAAATCTTATCTAGGGAGTATCCATCAAATACATGAATATGTTTTGTGTTTGTTAAGGATTGAATAGGCCTATCTTTTTAGAATAACAATACCTCTGTCAACATCACCACCATTTTCTCTTCCTGGTATATCTTTTGTGAGCCTTGTTAATCTATTATCCCAGTACAAACTAAAAAAAATTAACACACAAGAAATGTTATCATATGCTCTGGTTTCCAGGCAAGGAAAGTCATTAAAAAAAGCTCATTCACAGAACAAAAAGAAAGAAAATTCGTATATCACGGCAGATACTGCTCATCTTCTAAATAGAATGGGTGTATGTGTGCCTGTGCATGCTTTTCAATTGAGCATCTTGAGTGTGTGTGTGTGTGTGTGTGTGTGTGTGTGTGTGTGTGTGTGTGTGTGTGTGTGTGTGTGTGTGTGTGTGTACACTGCCTAAGAGCAGGAATGGACGACGCCATTCTTCTGCATCTCTGAACCAGTGGCACCTGGATCAGAGCACAGGCTCATCGCAGACGTCTTATTGGTCAGTGACAGCATGGACCCGCCCACTGCACTGTCCTGCAGACTGCTCGAGCCGTTTGACACCTCGCTGAATTAAAGGAGGACAAAAGGAGGTCAGGTTAATGAAACCACAAATCAGGGAATATACACAATGTTGTGTTCAAGTACGTGTTTAATCACCCAAGAGCCATGGAGATTTCTTCCAGCTGAGTCTTGTGATCTTGTTGTCCATTCTCTGAGGGTTTCATCTTGTACTGCTGCACATCGTGGGCGACTTGGTTTTCCTGGTTTGGACATTGATCAAATATGCTTAGTTTCTGGTAAAAAAAAAACCCTGTTCTTGTCTTATTATTCTTCTGCAAGTGTTCCGTTTGTGACAAAATATTTGATCCAGCTGAACCCTATTTTGTCTCAATCCGTGGCCCATACCACAATAACTGAATGTGTCCTGGTGCCAATATGAGTTGTATATTGTAACAAAGATTCCTCATGGAGAAGCAGTTGGGATGCTTAAATAGTGGTTCATGTGTACTGTCCAGAGGCTGTGATATTAAGCATTGACTATCGATCCAGAGGGATACACTGAAATATCCCCCACCCCCCAAATTCTCTCTCCATAAATAGTCAAACTGTTTCACCCCAATTCATGCCAACAGCCCCACCCCCCTTACCATTGCCATCTCACGGGTCCTCTTGCCGATCTCTCTCTCCACCTGGTGGAGCTCCATGCTCAGCTGTTCACTGGAGACAGATGTTGTGCTCGCGCCTCCTGCTGGCCACTTCTGCTGCTGAGCTGCGGCCTGGCCCGGCTGGCCTGCCTCCCTCTGCAGCAGCATGGAGTTACTGGCAGTCTGTAACAGTGAGACAGGAAGTTAAGAGGATGTGTGCAAAATGTGTTATTTTTTGGCAATAGTCCAAAGTGCGAAAATGTGTGTGAAATGGAAACTGGATATTACTGTGTTGACTATAT